TTTTTTTTTTGCCTCCTGGGCCGTGGTCCCACTAGTGAAGGGGATAGGATAGAAATCCTGAATCTGGCTATGTTTTTGATGCAGAGATACAAAAAAGTAGTTCTATCTCGATTTCCTGCTCCTGTCCTTGAACACGTCCATACATGGCTATGTTTTATGCAGAGATACGGAAAAGAAGTATGGGCGTCGCCACACCACTCTCGAAATGTGCAAAATGAGAATGAACTTCCCACTACAACATAGCCAGATGCGGCCGCCAAACTTTTGTCTTTTTCACATTTCGAGAGTGGTGTGGCGATGCCCTATGCTAATGTGTGTGCATGTGTGTGCGAGCGTGTGTGTGTGTCAGAGAGAGAGTGCAGCCAAAGTTCTGCCATCGCCAGTGGCACGAACCAAGACAAGCGTGCGTCCTGCGGAGATGGTGCGTGTATTCGATTTGGTTTTCTTTTTTTTTCCCCAATTCTTTTTTTTTTTTTTTTTTCGTTTTCTCTTTTTTTTTTTTCTTCCTTTGTGTTGTTGATTTCGTTTTCATTTTTTGTTTCTGGTTCGCGTCGTTTTTGCATTTCGTGCGCGCGGCAACAAAACACATCGGGCGGGAACATCCAAGTGGGCAAGAACAAGTGGATAAGAATGAAAAAACAAGAATGAAAAAAAAAACAAAAAAAAAACAAGAGACTAGCTTAGTGGGTACACCTATGAACAGTTGAAACACAGACCCGAGTTCGAATCCAGATGATGGGTACACCCATGAAGCAAGTTTTTTTTTGGGCTTTTTTTTTTATAATAGCCGACAGTTTATCCTACGGGAAGAGCAGTTTTCCTGTTCTACCGGAGGATTCATTCTTCATTTTGCACACTCGGAGAGTAGTGCAGCGAGGCCCACACACACACACACACACACACACACACACACACACACACACACACACACACACACACACACACACAGGCGGAGAGAAAGATGGAACGAAGTTTGCTCATGTGTCTGTGTGTGTGCATGTGTGTCAGAGAGAGAGAGGGGAAAAGAGTGTGCGTGTGTATGCGCGTGCCCGGGCGTTAGAGAGAGAGTGCAGCCAAGAGAGTGTGTGGGTGTGCGCATGGGTGTGTGGCAGAGGGAGAGTAGAGTCAAGACTCTGCCATGGCCAGTGGCAAGAG